TTTAAAAAAAAAAAAAAAAAAACAAAAAAAAAAAAAAAAAAACATTTCCAAGATGAATCCCCCTCTTTGCCCAGCTGAGAAATCAGCCTAACGCTCCCCTCCCAGGACTGTGTGAGGCCTGACACATTAATGGGCGTGAAGGCAGTTGTTCATATGAGATGGGCTAACAGTGGACAACATTATCATGAGTAGTGTGGCAGAACTGAGAGCCTGGGCTAGACCTGAGCACAAAGGTACCCCTCCACCCTTGCTGCAAATATACGTACCAGCCTAGAAATGCCCAGCAGGACCCACTTTCTAGGCACCGGAGGATTAGCGGTGATACAGCACTGCCCGTCTCAGCCGTGCACAGGTCAGCACCGACTGAAATCAGTATCTCTGCGCAGCTGCTCCGTGACCTAAGGTTTAACAGTCCAACCTCGCACCCTTGCTAACAATGAATGAAAGGGCCATGCAGGCTGAAAGGCTGAACTACCTTGTCAGCCCTTCCACTAACAGCCGAGACACAATGGCAAAGCTGTGAGGGAAGCTGAGACTGCTGCTGCCTGTGCTTTACCTGTGCCGCACATAAATAGGGCTTCTCTCCCCAACATGAAACATTATATGAGGACTAAATTCATTCCAACAGGGAGCCCATTTACTTTGACAATACTTACACGAGCTAAGAGATTTCCTGCAAAGCAGCTGCAGCAGAAATCTATTATTAAAAAGGTTCAGTGCACAAGCAAGTTCATGGGATTGACAAAGATTTACTCATATACAGGGGCTTGCTAACTGTTACCATGAAAACACAGAAACCTGCAGAGAAATGTCAGCCTAGCTGGTGCAAGCATTTGACCAAAAGCGAGGCTTGGCCATGCAACAAAAATCAAGAGGGGGGAAATCTCTTCAAGCAGCTGGGCTGGCATCAGAGATTGGATCGGCATTGGCTGATACGCCTCCTTAAAAATCGGCTATCGGTATCAGCCCCCCAAATCTCTATTGGTGCACCCCTACAGGAAACGTTTATTTAGAGGGGGCCTGGTAGCAGCTTACTGCTCGGTGAGCAACTGTTCACCAGGGCACCCAAAGGAAAAACCAGGAGTAATGGCCACAAACTCCTGTAAGATCGATTTAGGCTCAACATTAGGAAAAACTTCTTCACAGTCAAGATGTCCAGACTGTGGAATAAGCTCCCTGCAGAGGTGGTACAATCGCCTACCCTGGAAATCTTCAAGAGGAGACTGGACAGTCCCACCTTGCCGGGGTCACTTGAACCCAGTTGTCTTTCCTGCTTGGTGCAGGGGGCTGGACCCGATAATCTTCCGAGGTCCCTTCCGGCCTTACAATCTATGAATCTATGAAATATATCCTCTACTTTTCCTCCAAAACCAAGGGAGCTAGAAACCGGATGCTGACCCCAGAGTGATTCTGAAGCACTTGGCCCGTCAGCCCAATGCAAGGTCAATGCCGGCCCCCCAGCTTTCTCGAGAGCACTGCTAACAAGCATTTACCAAGCCCAGAAAAGAGGCAAAGAAGCCACCATGGGCATGGGGATGGTGATGTCCACAGCAGCAAGAGCATCTTCATTGCTTTGTTGTTGGGTGCAGAGCATCAGCCAGGGTGCCGAGGGGGGGCTGTCCTCTTAACAGCTTTCTCCAGAGCACCAGGCAAGCAGTACAGACCCATGCTACCCTGGAGAGTGACTCTGCATTGAGCAGGATGGCCAGCCCCCTGTATTCAAGCACTGCGGGAGTGGCCCACCCTCTAAAACCCCAGGAGAGTAACTCAGAAGTCAGGTGATTCCAAGAAGAGGCCGATGCTTGTTATGGGCCTCCCAGTTTGGGAGTCTTTAGGATCTTGTGCTATTGAGGAACACGCTTTCCGAATGAGGGCAGAGGGTAGGTTTACTCTGTGGTCCAGGAGCGTGACTGCAATTTGCATTGGCTTACTGAAGCTCAGGGAGTAGCCTGCCAGTATTACAGGCATTAACATTCAGCAAGACCCACTTCCCCGGCACCGCATGGCTCTGAGGAAGAGGCACTGTGAATAAAGCTTTCACTCCTGCAGTGCCCAGAGGTCAGAACCTGTGCATGGCTGCACCGGGAGCTAGGACCTAACCGTCTCAGCAAACGTCCTCACTAGCGATGAAAGAAGAGCCAGGAAAACCCACAACAACACAGGCCATCCCCAGGAACCCAAGTGCTGTCTGCGTTGCAGCAGCTACTCTGCTCCCAAGATCCAAACCAGCTCAGGGCTGTGTATGCAACCTGCAATCATGTCTTCGGATTGTGGCTCTCACGTCATCCCCTGACTCCAGGAGCTGGCCCTGCAGGAACACACAGGGCCTGGCTCGTGGGAGGGGGAGGATGCATGGCAGCATCCCTCCCACGACAGGCTGCAGGCATGGGGCAGACATACCCTCTCTGCTCGAGGATCTTCCATGAGGCAATGGGGAGGGGTTGAGATCTGGTCTATATTCGCTTATAAACAACTGTGACAGAGAAAATGGTGAAGATTAGCAATAGGAGGCTGCAGAATCAGCCTGTTCTAGTGCACCTGTTTGCAGCTTGCTGGGGACAGAGAGAGTCATTGAAAACCCAGAACTGCCCAGATGTTTCTAGCCCCAAAAGAGAAAACATACTCTCCTTCGCAGACAACAAGCGGCCCTTCCCCAGCGGATGGCCTCTTCTCATTCCCCAGGTGTTGCCACTTGGAGGTGTCCATTAAGCTGGCTGATCCAATACAAGGCATGACCATATATTTTCAACTCTTCCCCCACTGGGCACCAGGCAGGAGCCTGATGTGAGCAGGTTGGTTGCCGAGGAAATAGCCTTGTTAGTCATTTCCTCTGCATCTAAATAATAATAATAATAATAATAAAAAAGCAATAGGTCTAAAATTGACTGGGATAATGAGGCGGAGTGGAGATGTGGCAACGTGAGAGCAGCTGATAAAAATAGAGACCCACAATGCATCAACAGATGCCAATTACCTTGGATGGTGCGGCCCCAAGTAAAAGAAAGCAATTTTCCGTCAGGAGGATGTATATTGTGCTTGGCAAGAGGAGCAGCTTGCAGGAGGGAAGGGCTGGCATGGATGCTACCCCAGGGGCAAAGGAGACAGCGCATGCCAGACACGGCTCCAACACGCCTGCTACAGCACCGGGAGGCACAGGGCTGCTGCAGGGCTCCAAGGGCCTCTGCTATCAGCTGTTCAAGGGAAAGTGGATACCAGATCCCCAACTGGTATCAATCACGCAGCTCCACTGACTTAGCAGAGCCCTGCTGACTTCCACCAGCTGAGGATCTGGAGTGGTAACCATATGATTACCGCTGTGGGAAGGGGTATGGGCTCCCCTGCACCAAAGAGCATTGCTGCCCCCAAGCACTCACCACTTCAGCATCCTTGCCTTGGTTTCTTAGTCCAGGCCTGCCCCTCATCCAGCTCCCGTCTGCTCAAAACCCTCTGGCTTGCATGTGGAGGTGCCTTACGGTGAGTGGGCTGCCTGGCCCATTGGGAGGAGAGGCTCAAACCCAAGGCCACCCCACACTGGAGCAGCTATCGCAACAGCTGTGCAGTGGGGACGCAGGCTAAGTGACCCCAGCACCATCCATCC